GTCTGTCGTAGAGGGTTCATTCTTTTTTTGTTTTAAAGAGGAAAAGAAACTACATCGACTGACCAGCGTCGATTTTTGAATTAGGTCTTAGTTTTTAGTCAAACTGAGGATTTTTCGGGTTTCGGAGGTTGTTGGTTGCCTGGAAAACGAATAAAGGCTTAATTAAAAAATCGGCGCCGGTCAGTCGATGTAGTTAGGTGTCTAGTTTAAAATAAAACAAATCCGAACTCTGCAGCTTGAAGTATATTAAAAAATTTTGGGACGCCGTTCAGGGTCCTTTTTGGACCTTGACTCTGGAAAATCCTAAACCATAAGACTTGGAGATAAAAAAAATTTTTCATTCCCGTAACTCATTGTACCGAACATTTATGGAAAGTTTCGTCAAGATCGGATGCACGGTGTCGGAGATAATTTCTGAGGGGGGCCTTAAGCATTTTTCATTTAATTAAAAACGATTTCTCGTCGGAGAAACGGCTGCTCATCGATATGTGAGTTTTCAAATACGTCGATTGTCGTGGAAATGTTACTTTTCTTCTAATCTGACTAAATAAAGGTCGCTAATTTTTACTCAGTTTTAATCACAGCTATAATTACTTTGTTCATACAGGTACAAAACTCGACCAACACGACAACGAAGAAGCATTCGACCTGATCTTGGCAGTGACTCTACAGACGAAACTAACTCTAACGAGTTATGAAAATCTTCTCAGTTTGTAAATATCTCAATTCTGTTGAAAATATTCACAATAAATCACGTTCATTTTGCAACAATATTTCTAATCTGCTGATGACAGATCACGTCACAATGGCTGTGACAGAAGTAAAAACTGTGCATGAGTATCGTTAAGACTGAGTAAAAGCTTTGAGTAAGACCAGAGGAAAAGTAACATTTCCACGACTATCGACATATTTAAAAACTCACATATCGATGTGCAGCCGTTTCTCGAGCGAGAAATAGTTTTTAATTAAATGAAAAGGTGTTTTGGGAACCCTTTCTATTTTGAGTCTGCAGTCTAAAAGCAATATCGGAAAAGGATGGGAGCAGTGTAGAGTCGTAGAAAAATGTTTGGACTATCGAATGAATATCTGGAAGTCGAAATTCCAACAAGCCTTCAGTCTTCACTAAGAAGATTTTCCAAAGATCCTTCTAGATTTCCCCTGAAAACTCTTTCAAAAACTTTGATTCTTATCTGGATCGATGTGCCCCAGTCTCCTCTTTCGAATGGTGGAAATGGTACATCGATAGCTGCTTGTATTTTCCAGTTATTCGCGTCCAAGTCCCACCTATTATATTTCGTAATGGATAGTAGTACTTGTTGCCTTTCTGCTGTAATTTTCTTTTCTTTCTTGTTAAGTCACACGCGTGTTACACACAATGGTACTTAAGATAAGTATCATAAGTACTACCGTACGAGTACTTCTTTTCTAAGTTTATTTAATAATAGATTCTAAGTTAAGTTTCAATGATCTGACGAGAGCACGATATTTTGAATATCTGTACATATACTGCTTCTTCAAATTGCATTAGTAAAAAACTTATGTTTACATAATCCCCTTTTTCTATTTTCAAACAAATCCATTTTCCATTACGATCTTTCCGTCAATTGATCTGACACTGTCTTTCTACTTTGTTACTGTCATCATGTTCCCTTTCTAAGCATGTACATTAGACTTACGAGGGACTTTTCCCAAGTGATAAATCATTTTCCGTCCAAAACCTAGTGGGTTATAGGTGGTCGATGATGCTGAACCCAAATATCAACATGAGACCTGCTGCTGGGCCCTCCAATCATCGGTTTTCCGGAAAACCAGTTTTTCAGAAACTCTAAAAAATAACCAAAATCTTTCTTAATGAGGCGTAATTGTAGCCCGCATATTTCGGATTAAAATGAGACGTCTCCCAGCTCTACAAGACCTTTCTTTGTAAAGTTATAGAATTTACAAGAGAAGCTCTAAATGTTCATTGTCAGCTTAAATCTTCAGAAATAAGAAATTAATTTAGGGTATTTCTTGTAAATTCTATAACTTTGCAAAGAAAGGTCTTGTAGAGCTGGGAGACGTGTCATTTTAATCAGAAATTTGCGGGCTACAACCATGTCTTGCTAAGAAAGGTTTTGTTTATATTTTAGAGCTTCCTAAAAACTGGTTTTCCAGAAAAACGGTACTTGGAAGGCGTAGCAGCTGGTCTCATGTTGATATTCGGATTCAGCATCATCGATAACCTATAAGCCACTAGATTTCGAACGGAAAGCGATTTATCACTTGGGAAAGGTCTCTCGTTAGTCTTTTGTTTGGTAACAAACCGCTCAATGAAATTAACTGTGCTATGAGTTTTAATTTGTGTCAGAATTATGTTGCCCGATTTTGCTTCAGATATAATATCATGGCATGCGAAGAGAAAAAGCCATTGACAAATGCATGCACGTCTGTAATTTTCAAAAACGTTATGCTTGTGAACATAGATGGTATTTAATAGATAATTTAAAAATCGTAATATAAAGCGCTTTTCCAAATCTTATTTGTTGATTTTTACATTTTGGATTAAAATTTCTTCTGCATCTAGGTGCATTAAACACTTTAATAAGCTGTTTATCGATAATAACGCACGACCTAATTAATATTTTATTATACTATAAACTCAGTTACAACGAAAGACTTAACAAATTTTTTTAGTGTTATCGAAGTATTCTCAAGGAATCTATATTGATACGTCTGTAACATGAAAATTACTAAATGTGTCGTCAAAATAATTGTATTAAGGTGTGAACTATGAAGCATTTTACTACTAACATTATTTTTTTATTGAAAATACACTTAGAGTAGAAAATAATAGCAAGAATTCATCCCTTTTAATTTCTATTCTGTTTAACAAACGAAGTGAAACGCCATACATGATTGATTGTTTCTTCTATTCTATACTGTCACAAATTAAATGGCACTCTAAGTATTTCTTCTACAACTTTTTCTTGTATGTTCCTAACTCTTAATCGCTTTTTCATTAGATGCAACGTCAACTGCTACTCTACAAAAATATAAGGAACGTATTTATGTAGACTTGAAAAATAGAAATTAGAGAGGAAATACTGTGAAACTTCAATCATCATTACTTCGTAAAACCCAAAAGATACTTCTGTCAACTTTAATCTGTCCACGATTTGCCACATAAAACAAAGAATATAGCTCTATAGTTTGTAGCTATAGTTTGTAGCTCTTTAAAAGTTCTAGCAACTGGCTATATAAATTATTTGTAATCACAACCGATTGAGGAAGAATCTTTTTTCTTTTATTGATTTTACCAAAAATCATCATTTTTAAACTACAATTCTAGTGCACTTATGAAAACTTTTTCAACTTAGCCAAAATCAAGCATTGTGAGGTTGGGTTTGTTTTATCTTAATTAAAAAGAATTTTTCTGCTATATCTGAATAGAAATGGTTCCATAGTTTAATTATTTTGCCTCTCTAAAGGCAACAAGACAAATTTCACTCTTGTTTTTGGTAAGTTTTAATAGAATCGCATTTTGTATCGCAAGTTTGGATTAAAATTGAACCTATGATACACGAAAAGAAAGGTGACACTTCGGAGCACCAGAACATCCATTTTGATTTCACATTCATGCAAGCCACTATGTTCAAAATAAGCTCTCTTTCGTTGTGTTTTACAACGTTACAGAATAATGAAGATTCAAGTTTTACAGTATTTTTCTGAAATCTACAAAAATATGTTCCTTATGTTTGACGACGAATGTAATGAAAAAATCCTCATATTTTCGCGTTCCAGAGCTTATCAAGCTACATACATTAAAAGCTTTCAAATTGAACAAACATGTTTTCAGTTTTTATCATTTCTGCGGATATTTAAAAATTTGCCGTGTTCAATACCTCATAGATTTTCTATTTTTTCCAGAAACTGTTCATTCGGTTGTGGAAGCTTTTTTAAAATACATGTAACTCGATCTGCTCTGACTTCCACCGATACACACATTGAGAACTTCATTAGACAATATAGTTTATTTATTACCTACTCTTGTTTTCGAACAAAAAATATGAGTGTAGACATCAAGTTTAATCGGACTGACATCTGAGAAAGTATTTCAAAGAGAACGTTCTCTCATTTTTCGGAAAATGCAATGTAATTCTACGATGAGTAGAAGAGAATGCATGAAAGGCGAATAAGAGTTTAGTACATGTACATCGAAGAGAGACAACGTCAAAGACTAGACATAAGAAGCAGAATGTATTAAACAAACTTAAGTTTATAGTTACAACTTTTAAAAAATCTACATTTCAAGTGTATCTAACATGTTGACGTCATTTTGCAAAAAAATAACACGAAAAATATGATATTTTGTTAAGAATTTTTCAAATGAATATGTTAAAGAAAAAATGTTTTTCTCAATTTCTCAATAACAAATAATAAGTGAATTAAAGTTAACGTATTGTGATATGTCTAAAACAATCGTTCAACATTAAATAAATAAATAAATATTATGTTATTTTTCTATATAATTAAAAGTTAATTTCGATGGTTAAATGTACAGGTGTTATTACATGTTTATCTTTCATATGTTCTCTGTTCAAAATTATGTTCTCTTTTAAAATCTTTAATATTTTCTTTATCTAATTTCTATTTAAAAATTTCTCAAAGTTTTATATAAAAAACTAATAATATCGTCTACGATTAAAATAATTTTATATAAAAACAAAATAGAATTAAACAGTTACATTATTTTTATGAAATAAAATATTAAATTTGTTTTTTTTATAGTCAAATGTGATTTCAGTTTCTCATACATAGACGGACGATTTAAAAGAATGTTCGAACTAAACAATGGATAATAAAAATGTTAATTTATCTTTTGAATTTAATCTAAATTTATTTCCATACAACATATGTTCAGACAGACAATTGTAATAAGTATCATTTATTATGATGATAATTTTCTTTTTATTTGTATTGTCTACTCGTTGTTGTCGTCGTTTTTCTCTCAAATGACGATATCATATTCTAGGCTTACGTATTAATTTAAATTGAATTACTTCATTTTTACGTTGATTACAACAACAGAACATACTTTGAAATACATATCGAAATTTATGTCCAAAAAATGAATATAATATAAATACACATGATGCATTTGTAACAGATAAAACATTATTAACACTCAAATATAATCTTGCATTTGTTGTTTCCATATATAATGGTCCTTTGAGAGCATAAAATGTATTGAATAAAAAATAGGGAAATTGTGTTAATAAAAATATTCCAGCAAGTGATAATAATAAAAGTGTAATAGAATTAGTTGAATGATCTTGTGTACATAATTTACGTTTTTTATTACGTAATATAATTAATTGTTTAATAATAAATGTTTTACAAATAATTAAAATTGATAATGGTAATAAAAAAACAAATATAAGATAAAGATATTTACGCATTAATAAACGAAATATAATATGTTTACCTAATGATGATAAAACTAATGTTAAATTATTATCACCATTTTCATGTGTAAATTCAAACCAAAATGGTAAACAATATATTATACAAAATGAACAAACACTAATAATTACAATTAATGATGATTTTTTTGAATGATATTTTTTCATACGATATGGTAAACATATAATTAAAAATCTATCAATAGTTACAGATGTTGCTAAATAAATTGATGTTAATACAGATGTTATATGAATTGGATATATATAAAGAAATATTTTTATATAAAATAATTCATATGATGTAATAATATTTGAACAAGAATTATAAAATATCCATCTTAAACCATGTGATAAAATAAATACAATTAATACAATTATATTTACAAAAGAGAGTGCTAATATATAAAGATTTGTTGATGATTTACGCATTTCAGGATGAAGTAATATAACACATGTTAATGTATTACCAATAATTCCAAATAATGATACACCGGATAATATCCAACCTTCAACAATACGTTTAAATTCATAAATAAAATCATCATTATCAATACATATATCCGAAAAAATGGTACTGTTATTCATTTTAACATTTTATTCTCTATTTTTTTACTAACGAACAAATATGAATAGAAAAATTCATCTTAAAAAGAATAATTTGTCAATTAAAAAAAAAAAAAAAAAGTGTTCGTGTTGTTACAACTGACTTTTTATTTTTTTCTTCATCGGAAGTATACCTAACTCGATTAACAGAAAAAAATAAAAAAATAGGGGAAAAAAGAAGAAGATTACACGAACTCAGAGGGACTTGTCAAAGTAAAAAAAAAAAAATTAGAGGAGAAAAAGAAAAGGCACAAAAATGAGAATGTCATGAATAATTATCATATATTTTTGAGTAGAATTAGTGGAAATAAAATGTGTGTCTCACAGTTTATTCATCAAGTTTTTTTCTCTCTCTCTCTCTCTCTCTCTCTGTCTCTTTCTCTATTGATAGGTTCAACCCTAAAAAAAATCAGGCATCTAAATTCAATTACATATACTGCGACAATGTCTCCAATGTCATATTGAATCATTAGAATAATAGAGCACTAATAACATAGTCAATAAACAGTTTTATCTTTTTTCAAATTTCATTAATTATTTTCTATTATATTTTCAAATCATTTAAGTAGAAATATGAATAGTGACCATTGCATGTTAATAAATATAGTGAAGATGTCATCTATTTTGTTGTTGCCACTTAAGCTTGATTTTTCACCTAAAAAAATGTTAACAATCAAATTTTTGCTTTTTATTATTATGTTAGATATCCATCCTCAATTGAACAACATAAGACTTATGATACTCAACACTTCGCTATAAAAGAAAAACTAAGTAGTTCGAGGCACTTGTTGTTGTTTTTTATATATATATATATAGGGTTCTCTTTTAATGCATAAAATTTTTCTCTTACGTTTAGATTTATGTTAAAAACTAATTGCTTTTTATTCGATTTTTTGATCTAAATATTATAAAAAAAAGTAGGAAAATAGGTTTAAAATATAAATGAAAATAAAGATTATAAAGTAAAAATAATTGAATTATGTGCCCATCTTTACTTTATTAACTAAAAAAGTGCATTATCAAAGATTTTTTCATTTATTGTGTGAATTGTTATGTATAATTTTGTTTTTCCGGTTTTTTCTTTTATATTTATGTGTTTACTAGTCAAATACTCTATGTTTTGTCTTTTTTCTTTTATTTTTGACAATTTCCTCAGAGAATAAAGTTATTAAACTTCATCTATAACAATTCCTTCAACTATTCGCAACTAAATCAGCATAAGCCTTTTAATACTAATAAACAAAAGTGTTTGCACCATGCTAGCATTCATCCTTTGACATGAGTCCTCATCTTGAATTAGATACGACAAAATACGGATGAATATTGTGTATATAGCATTCAATTGCACATAGAACGAAAACCAAATCATCCTAAAAAGATTCTAAACCATTGACTAAGCAATTTTGTGACTACAATTGGATTATGACTGAGATCGTAGATCTGAAACCTTCACTTGAAGAAAAATATAGATATTTTAACACTGAAGAGAGCATGTGCGTAAGCCAAGCAAAAACTTGTCGAAGAAGATAAATTCCAACCGACTATACGACTGCGTAGTGTACCCATATCAGTAAATAAGTACCTCTTCAGTTACATTTTATCATATACAATACAAAGGCAACTTATGTTTCCAGTACATCTAACAAATAAAATGGCGCACACCGCAATTTCTTTATGGAATCCATTTGCGTATGCAATATGAAATAAATGAATACTGACTTTAATATTTTGAACAAATTTCCTTCCTCTTTCTATAGAAAATAATTACTATTTGAAAATTGAACTTCATCATGTTTTCTCTAGGTAAACCATATGACCCTTTAGCACTAAAAATAAATCTCTAAAAATAAATGTTCATTTGACTTTTTCTTTTTTAAGCAAGCATTCTGTTAAAGATCTAATTTCTTATTCCTCTTGTTTTCCGAGTACTTCACAAACTATATTCTGCTAAAGATACCTGTATATATACCGACTGTTTCAAAATCAAGATCAGAACTCGAATATATCCACCATCTTTCCGACAAATGGCTTCATGCCTTTCAAATCGAGACAGAAATGCTTCAAGTTATTATAGACACTCTATTATCATTGACGTGTTTCATTCTGAACACTTTTAGCGCTTCTAGACGCGTCTTTCATGTACTAGAACAAACGCATCTTGAAACAGAATTAATTTTATTAATTAATTCTGACACGGAAAAGGTGCATCTCAAAGTTTTGGTCAAAGTTGGTGACCCAAAAAACGCGGAGAGCATGAGAGTAAGCCACTAAACCACATTTCTGCTTGTTTCTCAAAAGATATAATTATTTTTTAATAAATCACTTAGAAAAAAATTAACTTTTTACTTAGCATTTAATAAAAACTAAGGTGCCCACAATTCAAAGGTCGAGTTAAAATTTTTTCTCGACAAATCATACACCATTCGACGCAGTTTTCGACGCTAATTCCGAATATGTAAGATTTGTTGAGAAAAAACGCTTTCGTCTGGTAGAAAACCCCCAAATACTGAAAAACCGGCGGATCCGGAAAAATCACCCTTTTCCTGAAAAATGTCAATTTTTTCTTTCCCAGTTGGTCTAAACTGAAAATGCTTTTTTTCATTAGATTCAGCATGAAAAGTTGAATCGGAATATAGTGTTTCGAAATCGTTCGCTTATCACCGGATCGATGTATGGCCCATTTTCTAGGGGGCGTGAAAATGCGACACTTTCGATTACAAAGTTAATAACTCCGACTGGACAAAAGATAAACTTTTAAATCTTACGTCATTCGAACTGTCATATGACCACGATAAAAGTGACGTGGGCGTCTGTTTTTATTTTTCTTCCCTCCAGAGAAAATCACATTTACTTTCTGCAAAGCCGTGACAAGTGGGTGACTTATTCAACGGTGAGGATCCTATGATCAACGTTTGTCATTTAGCCACTACGATAGATATATCATTCGATAGAGGTATGCTTCTTCTGATGTATGCTAATGAATTTTTCTTGTTCTTTTTTAGATCGCTCATGTAAATACTTTTGTAATAACTCAAAATCAAAATGAGTTATATTTGATCTTAAGTGATCTAGTAATTTATGAATTTCATTATTAAATTTGATACTGTCTTTATGTCTATTATCATATTCTTGTTTGAGACAAAAATGTTTAAAAGTACAATATTCATGAGTAGATTTTATTCGTTTCTTCCAGAGGTTAATCCTAATAAATGTACGTGTAAGACGATAGATTATGCAAAGGCGAAGAAATTCAAGATCACATTTACACTTTTGAAGTTTAATAGAGAGCTTTTCAACTTTCCTAATTGTGAGAAAAATAACGTCGCCATACTTGAAGCGGGTACATGATAAATAATTTGCCGGTAAAGCAGTAGAAATTAATTTAAATATCATTGAGTATACAATGGCACGGAATTATTCAAGCCATGAAAATGCAAATATTCCAAAAAATGAACTCAGTTGTATTAGAAGTCTAATGACAAAATTAGGCCTTTCAGAATTCAAAGACCGAAAAATTGAGGGACTTGCAGAGATGATCAAGAAGTCACCTCAACATGACAACGTCGACAGGCGTTTCTCGAAAATTGAAAATCTATTGAATAAAACAGCAACTGATAAAAATTCAGTTTTGAAATATGCTATCGAATATACTAACAGCCACCATCTATCCAAAAATATCGGCGATCATCATGTTACAAAATTAGCGTACGACACGTGTTGCGCTGAAGAGAAAAGTCTAAGACAAGTAGTCGACGCTATACGATCACAAACCAAAGAAATCCAGGACATCCAAAACTGCGATTTCTACATGCTCGATATTGTGAATCGAGTGATAATGTTAAAGCGAGAATTTGACTTCAAAGACAAGCAGAAATTGGTGGTGATGTTGTCATTGATAAACGAGAAAAGTCTACTGGCACAAGTGGCAACTGGCGAAGGCCAAACATTAATCATAACGACCTTGTGTATAATCAAAGGCCTCTACGGCGAGAGGTTGGATATTGTGACGAGCTGTTCTGTACTGGCAAAATGCGACGCTGAATCGAAGCCGCCGAAAGGCAACACGGATCTCTATGCGTTATTTGGGGTTAGTGTCGGACATATTTGCAGTGAGGACGTCGATCAACGTACGCAAATCTTTAACAATTGTGACGTGATTTACGGCGACTTGTCGAGCTTTCAACGAGATTATCTACTGGAGCAAACATTCTAGGTGCGCGTAACTTTGAAAACATGATCGTTGATGAAGTCGACAGCATGCTGCTGAACAACGGCAACAACATGCTCTATTTGTCACACGACAGGATTACAGTCATCAAATTGGATTGAGAATCCGGTTAAGAATGTCCTCACAAAGTTCCATGTCTTCAGCATAAAAGCGATGTGCAAATATCAGCAAAGTTTTTGTCGAGAAAAGCGTCTTCTTTCAGCACATTCACAAGATTTTCAACAGACTTGCTGCCATACAAACTTTCGAGCTCCATCAAGTGGAAACAACACTGTTCCAGATTCTCGTCAGTGAAAGCCAATCCACCCTTGCTCAGCAGTTGTTGCCAATAGCTTAATTTTGATGAAGAGCGAGTGGTTGCAAACAAGGATTGCTCTGTGTTTTAGCAGTACCGAAGATACCATAGAGGCAATTACAATAAAACAATATCTTGTCGATTCAAATGAAAGGGTCCTAAATCAGAAATTTCTGAATAAATTGATTCTACTCATACATTAAACTTACTTGGCGCTGACACTTTGCATATTTCTATCATGGAGTAATTTGTGTGGAATTTTCTCATGCTGATTCGTATGACGAGTTGGTGCTGTTGGTTGTCTAATTCAGGTTTAATGCATAATGTACCCTTACAACTAGCGTAACGAATTTGCAACACACTGATCTCAGACTTTTTTTCCAAGTTTCTTTTGGATCTACATTTAAATCCAAGTTGGTTGACAATAGACTGGTGTTTTTCTCTTACTTTTTTGCACAA